TTTCGTTAAGAATCACATAAAAAAAGGACATGGCAGTGGTGCTCCTATGCATCATGGGCCTGGAAGGCACATCATGGTTGATCAAGTTTTTAGCAAATAGAGTCAGATGCAAAGGAATTGCATATTTAGCGACTGTTTAGGTAACTTGAATGCAGTGGACGTATTGATTGTGATGTCCTTGGTTGACCGATGTTTTGGGGTTTATTTGGGGGGGTGAGCAAGGAGAGAGGAGGGAGGAATCTAGGATTCATAACAAACTAGTTTACTAGAGAAACCTGGGATTTATAAAGCACTGGGGGGTTGTGTCGACTGGTTTAATTTCAAGACATTATTTACACAAAATTCCGTTGAAACGTATTGACACGATTGAAGAGCAGATGAGAAGAGACAATGCAAAACAGCAATGGCAATTGCAGCAGAAACACTGTGTGTTCCATGAGCACAGCTGGGTGCATGAACAGAAGTTTATCAACCTGCAGGTTTCCATCATGGTCAGAGTGAAGAGAGTAGCCCATGCGAATGGACACAGTGCTTCAATGTCTCCCACACAGTGCACATTTCCCACTACCATGACTACACTGGCGCATAGTGCCACCGTGGCTATCCATCCAAGATAACATAATTACAATGCAGTAGATACAGCATATCAACTGTGGGAAAGATCACTGTTAGCTATCATTTTCGTGGCTTGGCAACACCACCAGTGCACATGTAGCATATCACCTGATCGATTCGCGACCAATAAAAGTTCACGATCTACATGTATGACTGAGATAAAACAAGTAAAATTGCCTAACAACCAACTAATGTGCCAGATGGCCAAATTACTTGATGAATCACTAAATTATGGTACCTCTTTCTCATGGTAACTTGACAAATTATAGAATTAGCCAGTTAAGAATCATTTTCAACAACGTACATGTAATTTGCATTGAGTGAAGTGATCATTAAATTCACTAAATTTACAAAAAAAACACCTTGTGCACATGTCATTTAAAATTTACAGTAGCCACTCTGGGTAGACATGTAGTTGTTGAAATACAGCAATGGTAAACAACTACCACAAGATCACTAAAAACGGTTCCAAAAGCCCTCAAATGTATACAAAAAGGCAAGATTTAACCCAAACAAGGATACTACCAATCTGTTTCTGATTTGAAGCACAATGACATTATAAACAAATATCACAAATGGCAGCGAAGGTATTTTTATGAGAAGAGATGTGCACAGCTGAAGACTAATAATTGGCATTACAATGAGAGATGTAAGTTTTCATTTAAAGAGTAACTAAATTTAATAACATGATAATTACTTCCATTCCCATCACGGCATTTAGGGGCAACGGGTTGGGCCTCATCTCGGTCTGTTTCCATGGCAATGGGTTCATCCAGGTGGCTGAATATCCAATCTGCTGCTCGCTCTACATTGTTGTCCTGCAGTAATAGAGACACAGCACTGACTGCTTTTCATGGACAGTAGTTTATGCTTAAACACACACATGCCTACATGTACCAATGACTGAAAAGCCGCTTTTCCTACAAACAGGAAGCTTTATTAAAACATTAAAAGACTAAAATGAACGGCAAGATCACTGAGAGATTTGTTTTCTTAATTATAACTTAAATAAAGTGGAACGTAACAGTAGAGCAGTTGGTAGAGGGTACTTCTTTGATTGTTTTTGGACGGTCAATACAGTGGAAACAATAGAAATCTGTTGCTCCCACAGGAAAAGAGCATATGTGTAAGATGAAGAAAATAAAAATCAGCAAGCAAGGTATTATAGGTCAAAAGAGAAAAATAAATTGGTAGGCGCCAATTGACAATGTGTCAAGAATTCTATGTTTATTTCTTTTCTTACAGTTGCTTTGAGTGCCCTAATAGCCTGGTCCCTGCTGAACCCCATGCTCAGGATCATTGCAACCCCATCTTCATTCACAACAAAATCCGGTGCCTTCTTGGGTCTGCCAAGCTGAAGTGGCTCTGCAAAATCTGCAAAGGCATAATCATGATTATGAAGATCACTTTCAAGTCTTGGTAGCTCTATATCCAGATCAAACACCAGCGTTACAACTTTGCAACACGTTTTGGATGTAGAAACAGTTTAATTCTTATTTCCAAGTTGAAAAAGAAAATTACTATAAAATGTCTTGTTCAAGGGCCCTGCTGTTGACCTTTGACCAACCTGTATCAGACATATGTTGGAGGACCCAGTTCATCGCTGCCTCAACCCCAGAATTCTTGGTGTGGTAGACAGCCTTGCGACACCCTTCCCTGGCAAACCCCATGTCCATTAATTGTTGCACTGTCTCTTCACTAATCTCTGGCTCTGCTCTCAGTTGTAAGGATGCAAACAACAAGTGTTCATTCAAGTACTACATATAACACATACACTGGGACAGAATAATGGGATAATAAATAAAATAAACTTAAGTTATCTCACTCAAGCACATCAGAAATATGTGCATACAGTTTCAAGAGATTTGCCAACGGACAGAGGTAGCAAGTTAAGCTGACAGGTTTGAAGTAGCACCATGCAAGGATATCTCTGAGTATGTGTGATATGAAAAGAACCAGTGAGTACTCAATGTTTTGGACAGTATGCTCTGTCTGTTGTCGGGAGACTGCAGTGGTTGCAAAGATGAAGCAGCTTATATCGTGTCTGGATGTGGTGAGATGTGTGTGACCAGTCGACCTTGTTACATGTAGGTCACCTGTCCCTCTACTTCTCTAACTTAATAACCTATTTAATTTCTCTCTATTTAGCATTGAGTGCGACTAGTGATCAAGTCCTAATCCCTCCTCTTTCTCTCTCTCCCTTATAAATATGCATTCCTTCTATCCTCTGTATTGTGGAGTGTGATTGGTTGTTGACATAGCGAGTCACCTAGTCCTTCCACGGTCTTTTGGAAAGAAATTCCTTTCCTTTCCTTTCATTGTAGTTTTTGATGACTGTTTCAGAGCTCTCTGGAGAGAACACATAATTATTTTGTTGTTCTTTGCTTGCTGGCGACTACTGTGTACATTATTGTACAGGCACCTTTTTACGATCGTGCACTGCTTACATGTACAATCGCCATCCGTTCAACCATTGGCACAAGTCGTGGGATGCTGCAAGGTAAGTTACACATGTTTACTTTTCTGCATTTTTGACATGATTTAGTAGTTTGCACAGCATATTCACTTCTTCCTTGCAATTTTCAAACCCTATATATTTCATCTTGGGAAAAGGTCAAGAAGTTCAATAACTCTCACATAATTTTGATGGTCATTTATCTTCATTCAAAAAAATGTTTAGTAGTTTCATTTTTTTAATGAATTGTGTATTACAGAAGTTCATGCGCATATGCACATCCCAAGCTCGCATCTTTGTGACTGACACACTTCACTGATCTGCTAGCATCCCATGTTCTGCTTGGGATGTCCTGCTTTTCAGAACCACATATACTCATCAGAAAGATATATCCTTGCATGGTGCAACTGCAAACCTTTAACTTAATTAGAGGGTCCACAATGAACCAATGAACAAACAAAAACAAGGAACAAGCAAACAATCAAGGAAAGACCAAATTTCAGGGACACAATGACCAACTTGACAAGAAAAACCTGACTGTGAGTTACAAGTAGAGTGGAACGCCGCTATACCCAACACTGCTATACCCAACATTCGGCTGTACTGAACATCGTCCTTGGCTCCCAATATTTTGTGCACAAAACCTACCGAACACTATGCAGTTGCTGTTTGTAATTCCCAAACGTCAACTTGATAAAACAGTCGTTTTTTATGTTGGAGAGTGACAAGTGGCCATTATTTCCCCAAGGATTCGAAGAGAAAGTCACTAGTTGTTAAAGAGTTAATTGTAATTAACTAGCTGAGAAACTGGGTACATCAGTCCGCACTTGTTCCAAGTCGTGTTCTAGAGAAGGCCAGGGCACACACTGTTAATCTGCCAATGGTATTGAATGGACACTGGTTTTGCGACTCCACGTGATCAGGTGCAGAAGAAAACCGCATGAACACTGTGACATTGCACTAACATTAGTCTAAAGAGGGGGCTGCTGATACATGAGCCCCCAAGATTTGCCACAGCATGCACTAAAGATCGATCCCGAGCAGTAGCTTCACAAATTTTAGGATAAACTTGAAATCAATTTTGTGACTTAAGATTTAATAAAAAACAAAAAATAATTAACAGATACATTTTTAGAAACTTTAAACGTGAATGCAACGGCAAAATATCACAAAAACAGTGAACCATGGTATCACAAGAGGGCGCACTTCAGTTAGATGAGAGAGGGTGCTATTCAACATGGCAACGAAACATTCGGCAGTAAATTTCGCTATACCAAGTGACCACTGCACCAAACATTTAGCATGGATCCCAGCATGTTCCTTATAGTGGCGTTCCACTGTACATAATCTTGCCAGAGATCTCCGGCTGTATCCCCTTACCTGGCTCTGGTGGGCTGTCCCCCTCGGGTAACTCCACTTCCCCTGATTGGAGCCCAAGCCCCCTGTAGGCTGTCAAATCTAACTCATCTGGCATGTCCACTGCAACATCTAGGAACATACAGAAAACAACCAATGAAACACTAGTTTGGAAATAATGAACACCATGAGAGGATAATCCATATTTGGCCTCATTCCCTTGTCTTGCTGCATACCTTTTTAGTGTTTATTGCTGGAAGATTTGCTTTTTGGGCCAGTGGTCAAATGGAGATACTGCTGAGGCTCATCTGAGGTGATGTCATTATTGCGGGGTACCACACTCCCTCATATAGCACATATTCTTAAACTTGAGGCAAAGATGTGTTCTGGTACATTCACAATGGCTCAATGGTTGAGCTTGGAGAGACATTCAACAATTTCAATATACGTGTAACCTTGGCATAAATGTAGTACCATTACAGTAATGGCTTCTAATTCTGGATGTGGGGGTTGAGTTTTTATTGAATTGGAAATACGCAGAAAGGCTGTGGCTTACTTAAGTCCCATATGAACCAGCCTGTACTGCTTTTAGGCTACAGAGCTAAACGTGGAATGTCAGAGAAAGGAAAAGTCCTTGCTTATAAGTGATTGGTTTTAATATTTGGATGGATAACCAATAGATAATGCGGATCGAATTTTGACACAGTCAACAGAGTTGCCTTGATAGTTTCTTCTGTAACTCTTAACTCCTCTTATTTGACAAATCAAAAACCTTGCTTTGAAATACTTGCAAAACACCTGAAAGTCAATGAATGCCCACCAAGTTTCTTTGGAACCCAGGTCTCAGTGAGGGTAAACTTCTTCAGTTGAATCACCAGGAAATCAGGGAAGGTGGCAAACTTTACACTCCTATCAACAAAAAAAAACTATAGATTGTTAGGAGCGTAGGTGAAGGGTCAACAGCAGTGAAAGTCCCTTCTCTTTTCCTGTCCAACGACTTTAAACAACTCTTTACGACAAACTTTAGGTGAAGTGAATCATCCAAAACTGGGTAAAAAGTACTCTTGCAATTATGAAACAAAAGCTCATCCACTCATACATACAAAAGCTGTTCAAACTCGCTTAAACCTTTACAAAGTAAGTTATGGCTATAAAATCCTGTTTTGCATTTGCCATCACAGCATTTTAAGACAATGGATGGCCTTTGAGAAAGTTGATATTGTAGAATGAGAGAAAAAATTGTTTCATATCAGGTATCTTGTAGGTCAGAGGTCACTGGCATAGACTGGCTGACGGTTGGAAAACTTGCCTGCAAAGGACGGCCACGACCCTGGTTACTATCATCTGGTTACTATATCAACACAAAGCAATGAGCCAGGAAAGTGAATTTCTCAGTGATCTACCCATCACACCAATTTTACAACCGACAGGCAGCGCGGTTGCTCTCCCTTTTTTATTTTTCTTCTTCGTCTTCTCCTTTTCTATAATTCAACGATTATGCAATTATAACATGTATAAGGACCATAGCTCATCCAACTCTTCACGTCTCCAAGTCACGTCTTCCTATATCTGTTGACGTATAGTAAGTAAAATAGTCTGCTCACTACATGTACATGTACAAAAGGGTGAAAAACCAGGGGTACATGTACATGTAAAAACTCTTGAGAGAAAATACTCTGGAGAAACCCTGCTGAGATACTGGGGGAGACCACTCTGTATAAGCATTTGTAGTTCTACAGTGTCATTTAACCTTTGACAATATAAACATCGGCCTATATAGTAAATGTAGGGTGTGTCATACAACACAGTCTATGCAATCCTTCTACGCCAATGTTTTGAACCTGTGACATAATAAACCTGTGTCAAATCAAAGAAAAATGAGTGTAGTTGAGCCTGTCAGTGCACAGAGGGCCTATACTGACCAAGCACTTCCTTTTTATACCTCTACCGAGTCACCTTT